CCATGCTTGACACTTCAGAAGGAGTTTCGGTGAGGAAACGTCTGAAGACAAGACGATGAGGGAAGTTACGACGGTACCTTCTACCTCAGAAGAGGATCCGAACGGAAATCAGCGAGACGTCGCGGGATTTTCGAGGATTAATATACCTTCTTATGATGGATCGGTCACGCAACAAGTGCGCGACAGGGAGGGCGCAGTGGACTTGGAAATTTCCAGGATTGCGTCTCCGGCAGGTTCGACCCGGCCGAGGTTCGAATCAGTGCAGTTTGAAGAATTGGTCGCTGCAAACAAGAAGTTGCGAGAAGAATTGCAACTCGCAATGGACATGCAAGTAAAGTATGAAGCTTTCGTCAAGGAAGTGATGTTTCGTAAGGAAAGAGAGCTCGTCGAGACAAAACAGGAAATCTCTGTCCTTAGGGAAGAAAATAAAAAAATGTTCGAGGAAATGATGCAACGGTTCAGATTAAATGAATCAGGAGCAGTTCAATACCTTCCGATCAAGGAACCAAGAGGGGCTGATGCAACATGCAAGCAAAACAATACGAGCATGTCGAACGACATGTCAAGTCAGCATGTCAAGCAGCAGTCTTCCCTTGTGAAGTTTCATTCCAAGGATATTTCTCGATTTAATGGAGAAATGACTCTAGAATATTCCGTGGCAAGTTGGTTTGGGGAGCTTGATTTTCAATTCCAGCGTCAAAGAATCCCTCCAGATCAAAAGGTTGACATTGCTGCAACATTAGTTGGTAATCGTGTGAGGAATTGGTTGCAAACATTGCGTGGCGAGGATAGATTAATTTCCACACAAGGTACTTGGGAATCATTCAAATCGTTGCTGGTGAAGGAGTATTTGTCGTTGTCGCACTTGCAGTATATTTTGGGTGAGATTCAATGTACGATACAAGGGTCAGAGGAAAAGACTTCGGATTTTGTCAACAGGTTTTCAGCTTTAGCAAATCATTTTATTGCTTGTTGCATGGTGTTATTTCATGGACAAGGACAAGTCGAGACAGCTTGCACGAGGTTTGGTCTTGAACGGTATTTCGCACAGAATTTGTTCAATGAGGTGACCGCGAGTTTCGTCATGAGGTTGTTGATTGACTTGGAAAAGCAAAATGTGAACAAGGCTTTGAGTATTGGGAGTTTGTTGCCAGCATTGTATCGAGAAGCTAAGTCCATGGATTTGACAACCGATGCGTATAGGAATGACAGGTCAACGCATCATGAGGTTTCGTACGATGATGAGTCAGTGGAGGATACCGACGAAGATTCTCAGCATTCATCTTCGACTCAGGATGAGCAGGACTTACGTGAATAACATTGGCCTAATGCACTTTGCGCTCCTCAATTGAAATGACTTGAGGTGGCTGCCGGTTTTCTTGTTATGCAGTATCTTAAGGAAAGAGATAGCTCTCCGAACGATGATCAAGAAGGAATGGGGATGCTATCGAGTATTTATCACGAAAGGCACGGGCTTCAGTCAACTAGCTGTCTTATCCGGTCGGTTTGGTAGGTTTTGGGTCGAATAAAATGGATCCGAACTTTCTACATGGCACTTCGCCATGGAAGAGGAGCGCGAGGTCTCCCAAAAAAGAATACAGGTTTTACACGTTGGCCGCAAAAAAGAAACAATATTGTTGGCGAACGTACATTTCCCTATCGCATCGGAGGGGAGGGACCGAGACAACATGTGGAAGGCGCTGAGCCAGATGCTCAAGATGGACCCAAACATTAAGCTCAGCATCGTCGGAGGCGACTTCAACGCATCTCGAAAGCTTGCAGAGATCTGCACGAGAGTAGGGTACGGGAGCAACTCGAACGTGCACCGCGCAGATGAGGAAATGGAACGAAACTTAAATGAGCTGGGGCGATATCAGATGGTCACCTGCGAAAAGATGAGCAGAAGCAGTTCGCATTTCACCTTCTCCACATGGTACAAACAGGGCCACCACCAAGCCAAATTAGACCATGTCTTCGCTCTACATCATTCATCTCGCACAGTAAGCCTGATATCCGAGACCGCAGAAGACTGCATCATAGGAGCCGCAGTCGATCACAGGGCACTGGTGGTGAATGTGACTGCGCTAGATGATAAGGGCGAACAATTTATTCCAACGGTTGAAATGCTTACACAAAGGAAGGACCGAGATGCCATTCTTCGACGAAAGAAGCGGGTGGTAGAGATAGAAAAGATATCGGGACGACTAGGCGTGGAATGGGCAATGGCTCTCGACGAGAAGATACAAGCGGCACAAGCTCTACAGCAAGATTGCGACATTATCAATTTGATAACAACTGCCCTTCCCATTAAGGAAATCCCCCTACGAACCTCAGGTGGGAAGCGATACTCATCGAAGATTCAAATGGACCTGAAAAGGAAGATTAAGCAACTTCGCAAGGATCTGAGAAGCGCATCAGAAATCACAGACTATATTGATCGTGCACACAGGGAGTCGAGTATCAACGCCGAACTAAGAGAGACTATGATCAAATTCAAGGAGATCTGCACCGAACAGGACCAACAAACCTTCCTGAAAGCTTGCGAGGAACGCCGACGACGACTGGGCACGATAGGGAGTAAAGAGTCCCAGAATGCAATGGGGAAGAAATCAGACTATAAGCCCAAAGCCCCAATGAGTAGCCAACTGCCAGAGAAATGCCACCCAAATACAATTGAACTCACCTCATGGAGCGATCTCCAACCAGCGCTGCAGCGGTCAGAGCTAGAGTATTTACAGGACCTGGATCCGCTGATGGAAGCATTCCTGCAAAACAGCTCCAAAGAATCAAGCAAAACTTTTTGGAATGCAAAACATCAAACCTTACTGCACGTTGAGGTCCTCGGGGCGGGAAATCAAACATCAAAGAAGCTCTCCCTCACCGTGGCGCCAGCACATTTGATTGTACAAATCATTCGGGAACTGCTCCCACAACCAGGAGGGTGGCGCCTAGAAGGATACAAGAACATCGAGCAATTTCTCCCTATGAGATTGGCTAGCGAACTCGAAGATGAAACCCACACGGCAACCTTCTTCGCAGTCAACGGCTGCACGACGAATGGAACCTGCGCAAAGGCGGAGTGTCAAACACGAGGACGATTGATCCCGCTATATGACAAAGGTCAGAAGAACGAAGAAACGACGATCCTCTTCTTCTGCAAACAGTGTCAATCATTCACCTCCGTCCAACCACCGGAATTCAACTCTCCCGCGAACATTGATCAACACCCGACCAGGGAAATAGAAATTGCTTTTCCCCTGGAGCCAGGAGAAATTCAGATTTGGATTCAAAAAGTATCAAATCGCAAGGCCGCAGGCATGGATTTGATCTCAAACGAGATCCTGAAAGCTTTACCTGACAGCGCAAAGGAGGAGATAGGAAAAGTGATCAGTAGAGCGTTGACAGGAGACAAAACGTTGTTGAACATGCTAGCACGAGTCAGACTCCTTCCAAAAAACGAGCTCTGTCATGTTCTGGAAAATATGCGTCCTATATGTATCCTCTCGTCGGTGACGCGAATCTTCCAAGCGGTGATAGCACACAGACTGGCAAAAGCAGCTGAGAGGCACAAGCTGTTAACAGATAACCAAGAGGGTTTCCGACCCGAGGGCGGGACGATCCGTCAAGGTCATAGACTACTTAACATCATCGAGGAGGCCCAGAGCAGTCAAAACAACATTATACTGTTATACCTCGACTTTGCCAACTTCTTCAATAACGTCGCGGTTGAATCCATCGCAAAAATCATGGAGGTATATGGATTCCACCAGCGCGATGTCGACGTCGCAGTCAGCTGCAGTCAAGGCATAGCTCTGCAAATCCAGACTGAGAGGTTTGATACAGCAGCAATCCCGCTCCTCCGGGGATTACCTCAAGGCAGCCCCGCGAGTCCACCAAAAACAAATCTTCTGCTCAGCATCTTGTCCAGACAACTTGATCAACAAAACGAGAAAGCAACTCAACACCCTAATAATCTGTCATTTGCAGACGACCTTGACATTCAGTGAGAGAGATGAAAACGCTTGTTCAAGTGGTAGAACGATTCTGTCGATGGAGTGGATTAGAACTGAACACGAAGAAATCTGAAATCACCAGCTTTGATTATCGGCTAAAGAGGGAGATCCAAGGAACACAAAACATCAAGTTCTTTGACAAGGAGTTTGTGAACCTACCACCGACAAAATGGTTCAAATATCTAGGGATCCGGATCAGCTTGTGGAGACCAGGAGGAAGAGGCAACAAGGCGCACACCTGCCCCTTCACGTGGGGAGAGAAAGAACACATCTTGGAGAAGACAAAAGAACTGACAAAGCTGATTGAATCATCTGCTTACTCTGCAGCCCAAAAATATTACCTGGTGAAGGTAGGCATCGTCAATATCTTTAGATACTCGGCGGTACTGGTGAGCTGGTCTTGGTCAGACTTACAAACCTTAGATACCCTCTGGACCAGAGCATTCAAAAGAGCTATGGGATTGAGCAAGAGTACAAGCAACGCTATCTTTCACCTACCTTGGGACAGAGGAGGCCTCCAACTCCCCCATCCAGCACCCATCTTGGGAAGGGCGGCGATTCGGTATCTAGAGAAAGAAACAAATAAGAAATGCAGGGTGGATGATGATATCAAAAGCAGTCTGATCCGCAAACTAACATCATGGTGCAACCAATGGGGGTGTCAAACAATAAACCAGCTACAACGAGAAATCAGATCGGGCAGACTCAAAGAGAACGAAGAGATAAGAGGACCGGAAAGACTCGCAATCTGGATAGCGGAAAAAATGCAGACCACCATCAGTTGGGAAATGATTGAAAGCAAGATGAAACCGGGGACAATAGCCATCTTACACGACCTGGAGGACAAGATGCTCTCAGAAGAAAACTCCCTGCCGTCCGGAGAAAACTCCCTACCTACATCTCCTGCTCGGCAAGGTTGGGAGAGTTTTGCAAAGGCATGGAGACTACTGCCCCAAGTAGGCTTCCACTCCATGACAAGTATTTTACCCGTCCCAGATACCGAGGGCATCTCCCTGCACCTGCCCGTGCGACTCTGGCCATTCCCAAAGCAAAGGGAACAAGCAGAAGAAATCCTCGCACAATATCTACAAGCGAATGTCATCTGGGCAAAACTCGGACTTGAGCAGGCAGGAACAGGGAAGAGAAGAAGGCCAGCCAGGGAGGAGGGAAGCCCCCAAACAAGAGG